CTGGATCACATCTGGGGCATCTGGACACACTCAGAGGAAGACTTTGAACAGTTCCTGGACGCACTGAACACACATAATCTCTCAATCAAATTAAAATCTATCCACATCAGTTGATTTTTTAGACACCACCACTTACAAAGGCCCTAACTTTCAAACATCTCACACACACAAAGTCTTTTTCAAAAAAAACAGACACACATGCACTTCTTTACATATCAAGTTATCATCCCAAGCACACATATGCTGTCTTAATCAAATCCCAACTACTCAGATTCCACAGAATTTGCACTCAGCAGTCAGACTTTAAAACTTCCACTAAGGTGTTGTTTTCAACTTTGTCCACCAGAAGGTACTCACGCTCCTTCCTAAGGAGCTGTATCAAAGTCTTCCTTCAGATGCTGCCTCTGGTCACAACTTTTTCCTCCTCACCAGTTCAGCTGGTAAAACAGATTAAAAACAATTTTGAGACATTCCAGCAACAGTCCAGCCTCTGAAAGGATCACAGAATCATTGCTGCTTTTTAGAGGAATAAGAATTTATAGGATTATTTAGTACATGCTAAACTCAAAAAATTATCTAACCCCAAAACAAGTGCTCAAGGGGAATTTTTTTCAACATAAGGAGTGGTTACAAAACAAAGTAAACAAAAATGTGTACCTGACCCGTTGTAGAGGCAGTCCCCACTCCAAAAACTGTGTATATCTGATCACATGTCAGCAAGGCGGACTGCAATATGTGGGAGAGACCGGTAACACCATCCTGGTCAGATTTACACAGCACAGGTATAACAAACCCCAAAAGGATAATCATGTTCCTCTCATTACCCACTTTGTCGGAATAATGTGAGGGCCACAGTGGTCCACGGCACAGAGGGGGAGATCTGAAAGGCTGTGGATTAACAAACTGAACACCGTTCACCCCAGAGGCCTGAATGAGAAGTTCAATTCATTTCACTTTCATTTATATAGTGCCAATTCACAACAAATGTCATGTCAAGGCACTTTACAACAAAAGTCATTTCAATATAATTATACAAACATTTCAATCAGTTAAAAGTTTTCTATGTAAGGAATCCCAGCAGAGTCACTGATGTGAGGTTGTGTCCTGATCATGCAGACTCCAACCATAGCAATCCCTCATACTGAGCAAGCATGTAGCGACAGTGGAGAGGAAAAACTCCCCTTTAACAAGAAGAAACCTCCGTCAGAACCAGAACCAGGACCAGAACCTGGCTCAGTTCAAGCGGTCATCTGCCACGACTGTCTGGGGGTCTGAGAAGACAGAAGAGACAGCATGGAGGATGCTCGGTCACTTAGAGCAGCGGTCCCCAACCTTTTTTGCGCCACGGACCGGTTTATGCCCGACAATATATTTTCACGGACCGGCCTTTAAGGTGTCGAGGATAAATACAACAAAATAAAACTATAGTACTGGTACCGAAAGAAGAAGATTTATTCATAACACACTTGAAAGACCCAACGATAAAACGATAACAAAATAACGCTCAAAACCGAAAAAAAACCCCTGAAAACCATACATTTCACACCTGAGCCTCAACTCTCGCGGCCCGGTACCGGTCCGAGGCCCGGGGATTGGGGACCGCTGACTTAGACCATCATCTGGACCGATGTTCCCCATCCAGCAGGGGGCATTATAGTTGATAGGATACCAGACCGGGTGGAGCTTCTATGGTGAGAAAAACACTGAGGGAAAACAAGGTTATCAATAGCAATAACAGCAGAAAAAATATATCTGGAGAGTAGTAGAATATAAAAGTAGAAGAGGGAAGAAAAGCGGTCAGACTGTCCTCCAACAGTCTAAGCCTATAGCAGCATAACTACAGAGATAACTCAGGATATCCTAAGCCAGGGGTCCAACTGGACCTCCTCAAATTTTAGTTTAATACCCCTGTCCTAAGCCATTCTAACTATAAGCTTTATCACAAAGGAAGGTTTTAAGCCTAGTTTAAGTAGCCCCACAGACTGACAGTTAACCTGGTATTTTTTTTCTTTAGTTTTTTCTTTTTCTTTTTTTCTGACACCTTGCCCTAGCCTTAACCTGTCCTTACCTCGCCTTCCTACCCCACTTGCCCTAACCCTATCATCCTGCCCCAACCCTGACTGACTGGGACCCTGACTTACCTGCTTTTGGTTTACTATAGTGCTCACTCTTCCTCTGGCCCCAATCCTGGATCCCTTCCTGGACACCTGCTTCTCCAAAACAGACCTTTGGGAGACTTCGGTCTCAGGCAGCAGGCTGGAGGGGCCAAGATGTGATGGCCTGTGCATCCATCTTTTCTCATTTCTAACACTAACACTTTTTAATTATTATTAATATTGTGATTTTAAGCCAAAAAGTAAAATGGAACCATGTTTATGCTAGGAGAGAATAATTATTGTCCCCAAAAAACCCTACTTCCTTTTAAGTGCGGTCCAAATTAGTTTTTACTTTTAAACAACAAACGTTTCAGTTTGAATTTTAAGCATCAGAGGAAGCCACTCCACATTTTAATTTTATTCATTTTATTTTGATGAAATAGCATGTCAAACTGATATATCTGTATTTTTACTTACTTTACTATGTATTTGACTGATAGTAATATTCTTTAAAAGTAAACTTTATTAGCAGCCAGCACGTTTGTCTCGTGGTATTGCATATGGGTGTTTTTAAAGTAGATATGATGAGTGATAATATGAACTAATATAAATGAACTCCAAATGTAAGTAAGAAAACCTTTTTGAGTGTAAAGAGCAAACCATCGACTGTCTCTACGAGCTGAGCCGAACTCTCGTGACATCTCCCAAAGAAAATTACTTTTATTTCCAGCTCCATCAAACAAGGCTATTTCAGTCGCCATGTTGGAGCCAGAATACATCAGTCAGCACTCATTGCTCCAAGACAGAGAGACTCATTGTTTTTAGGGCAACCACTCTGCCAACAAGGAGCGAACTTGACAGAGGCCCTGCTGTGATTGGCCAAACTTTGGAACGTTCCCCAAGGTGGTTTTATTGGGGCATCTGATTTGCCAGTTAATAACTTGAATAACTTTAGTTAAATACCAAATGTCACAGAAAAAAAATATTATCAGCAAGAACATGTTAAACATCTACTCTACCATCACAGGGGGTGTACAGATTAAAATAAGTTAAATTGAAGTCTTTTTAAGACCATTTAAACATGTCAAAATGATAAAGACACATACTCAATTTTTTTTTTAAGTGACAGGAAGGCACATTGCTTTGACGAGACAAAAAAGAAAGACCCAGTTACCCAGAATTTGACACAATGTTATACTTCTTAAGGCCTTATTTAAATTAAATTAAATTAAATTGAAGACCTTTTAAGAATCTGTAAGATAAGATAAGATAAGATAAGATAGAACTTTATTAATCCCTCGGGTGGGTTCCTCTGGGAAATTCGATTTCCAAAAAAGCACAGCACCGACAGAAGTTACAGAGTTATACACACACACATATATATAAATACAGAGACAATATAAATAAAATATACGAAGGGATAAATAGAATAAATAGGAATAAAAATAAAAATACAAGTGAATTGCACATTTCAAGTATTGAGTCTATTGCACCATTGACTATTTACAAAAGTATTGCACAAGGTATTGTACAGTGAGGTGAAGAGGCACTACAGCTTAGTTGTTGCCCCCTCCTTTGTCCTCCTGTTTCCCCTCCCTCTCCCCTCCAGAGAGGAGTTAAACAGTCTGATGGCGTGTGGGACAAAGGAGTTTTTAAGTCTGTTGGTTCTTGTCTTTGGGAGAAGCAACCTGTCACTGAACAGACTCTTCTGGTTGTTAATGGCCGTGTGCAGAGGATGCCCAGCATTGTCCATAATGTCCATCAGTTTCTTTAATGTCCTTTTCTCTGTCACTGACACCAGAGTGTCCAGCTTCATGCCGACCACAGAGCCAGCCTTCCTGATCAGTTTCTCCAGCCTGGATGAGTCCTTCTTTGCTGTGCTGCTCCCCCAGCACACCACAGCATAGAAAAGTACTCCAGCAACCACCGACTGGTAAAACATCCTCAGGAGCTTCCTGCAGATGTTAAAAGACCTCAGCCTCCTGAGGAAGTACAGTCGGCTTTGGGCTTTTTTATACAGGTGCTCTGTGTTGCATGACCAGTCCAGTTTATTGTCCACCCACAGCCCGAGGTACTTGTACTTGTTGACCACCTCCACCTCCTCCCCCTCTATCTGAACCGGCAGTGGACCTGCTCTAGACCTCCCGAAGTCCACAACCAGTTCCTTAGTCTTTGAGGTGTTGAGTTGCAGGTGGTTTGTGTGACTCCATGCGACAAAGTTCCTCACCAGACTTCTGTACTCCTCTTCCTGATCATCCCAGATACACCCCATGATGGCTGTGTCGTCTGCAAACTTCTGAATGTGGCATAATTCAGAGTTGTAGCAGAAGTCAGAGGTGTACAGGGTGAAGAGAAGAGGGGACAGTAGACACCTGGTCAGGTGTGTCCAGCCAGTTAAAAGCAGGAACTGGATAAAAGTGGGACATTTGAAGGAAGTGAAAGCCCTCTTTTTCTTCTCCAACCTTTATTTTACCAGGGAAGTCCTGTTGAGATTTGGCATCTCTTTATCAAAGGAGCCCTGGGAGTGAATCAGTCACACACTCACACTGAAGGACAATTTACAGACTCCAATTAACCTACAGCATGTTCTTTTGGACTGTGGGAGGAAACCGGAGTACCCGGAGGAGACCCACGCATGTATGGGGAGAACATGCAAATTCTACACAGGAAGGCCCCAGCTGGAAATCAAACCTGGAACCTTGTGATTATGAAGCAGCAGTGCTAACCACTGTGCTTTCTACCAACCTCCTCTTTCTGCTTCTTATTGGCTTAAACACACCTGGCCCAGGTGATCAGCAGGATGGTGTTGGCCTTGAGGGATTGAGTTTGACACCTGTGGTTTAGTGGATTATTGGTCCAAAACAAGTGGAAGAGCTGCAGTCAAATCAAAGCACTGAGTCCATAATGGGTTCCAGCATAGCTGTGGGTTTTATTGATTACAAACTGCACCCTCAGTGGGATCTCTCCTTTTGACTGTTGCTGCTGTGTGAGGAGCATCAGAGAGGTTTTTATTTGCAGCAGAAGAACTGCACGTCGTTGAGCGCCGTGTCATCGCCACTGCCCAGCGGCTCCTCCACGCGGGTCCTCAGCCCACAGATGGCGCCTCTGGGACACTTCCTGCTCCAGTGTCCCCACTCGCCCCACTGCAGCCCATCACCCTCCAGCTGAGCGCCGGTGCCACTGCAGATGAATCTGTGAGAAAAGTTTTTGAATGGTGACAGATGTTCCAGTGTTTTTCTCTGTGTGTCTGTCTCTTTACTGTCCTCTCAGATGCCAACCAACTCAGCCAGATAGTTTTCCTTTCTGATTCTGGGGAGGTTCGGTGATTACAGAGTTCCCCGGCCTATTCACGTTTCAAAACTATCTGAGAGGAGCTTGAAAACTATAGTGACACTGTACAGTCACTATAAAACATTATTATTCTTTAACTTTCATTTGAGACGTTGGACATAAAAAGAAAGGTTTGGTTTGTTTTCCGACTCATGAAATGCTGCAGAGAGCGTAGGTAGTTAGAGTTTGATGCTTGACTCGTCCCAAGGTCTCCTCTGGGCGATGCGTTCACTTACTTGATGTTGTTGACGGATGTGTCGTCACCCTGGCCCTGTGCAGACTCAACGCGGAGCATAAAGGAGGCCAGGTATCCACTTTCACAGCTCTTCACCGCAGTCCAGTCCCCCCAACTGAATAATAATAATAGATTAGATTTATACTGCACTTTTCTAGACACCCAAAGTGCTTACAGGGTGTATCCATTATTCATTCACTCCACATTCATACTTGGTGATGCTAAACTACTATGTAGCCACAGCTGTCCTGGGGCAGGCTGACAGAAGCACGGCTGCCAGTGTGTGCCTACGGTCCCCCCTGACCATTCAATTCAATTCAGTTTATTTATATAGCGCTAATTCACAGTGAACATTGTTTCAGAGCTACAGAGACGAGACACACAAACACAAAAACAGGAGGTGGGCCAGTCGACATTTCTATGGAGAGAGAAACAGAATTAACGGCAGTAATAATTATTAGGACAAACAGATATGAAAAGAGTAGAGAGAGCAGAAAAGAAATGTGGTCAGTTTGTCCTCCAGCCCAGCGGTCCCCAACCCCAGGCCTCGGACCGGTACCGGTCCGTGAGTCGTTTGGTACCGGGCCGCGAGAGTTGAGGCTCAGGTGTGAAATGTATGGTTTTCAGGGTTTTTATCGGTTTTCAGCATTATTTTGTTATCGTTTTTATCGTTAACTCTGTTTTCCTGGGTCTTTTCATGTGTGTTATGAATAAATTTTATTTTTCTCGGTACCGGTAATAGTTTTATTTTGTTGTATTTATCCGCGACACCTTAAAGGCCGGTCCATGAAAATATTGTCGGGCATAAACCGGTCCGTGGCGCAAAAAAGGTTGGGGACCGCTGCTCCAGCCTATAGCAGCAAAACTAAGATAAGGGGGTGGGCGTGATTAAATAATAATAGAATAAAAGATAGCGATGACTGTCTGTGCGATGATGTGTGAGGGTGGAGAAAGACGCTAGCATGCCCAAGGAGATAAGTCAGGATAGACTAAACACTCCCCAGGTGAGTTAGGCTTATTGGCATGCCAGCATTTGAAAAAGAGATGAGAGAGAAAAGGAGGGAAAAGAAAAGAAGAGAAGAAAAAGGAGGCTGAGTCAGAGAGAGGATGGCAGAAATTTAAATTCCCAAGTATAAGATTTATTAAAGAGGAAAGTTTTAAGTCTAGTCTTAAAAATAGACAAGGTGTCAGCATCACAGATGAAAGTTGGGAGCTGGTTCCACAAAAGAGGAGCTTGAAAACTAAAAGCTCTGCCTTTCATTCTACTTTTAGAAACTCCAGGACCATCACCAGAAACACTCACACTCCAGTGGTGCCAACACTGGAGACAAGGAAGGTTAAATGTCTTACCCAAGGACACAACAACATGACTAGCAAGAGTAGGATTCAAACCGCTGACCTCTTGATCATTGGACAACCTGCTCAACCACCTGAGCCACCACTGTTAATCTTCCAGTTCAACAACAAAGCTCCACCACAGGCTGAGGATGTCTGTGAGTTGTTCAGGTAGTTTGGTGTTTTTGTCAAGGTTCTTTCAGCAACAAAACATTAATATAAATTATCATTAAAAAACATACAAATAAAATAAGCAGTTCAAAAATCGAAACAAATGACTTTCAACTGTTCATAAGGTGGTGAAATGCTTTTCTGCACCCTCTCCGAATACAATAGAAAATAAATAAATAATATAGTCAGTGGCTGTAGAACATTTTTGATTCAGTTTGTCAGTAAAGAAGAACACTTGGCTATTTTTGCTAACAACATATTTCAGAGTATGGTATCCTTCTTGCCCCATCCACATGAAAACGAAGATCCAAAGGTTTTAAAAATCTCCACATTGGCCGCAGTTTTTAGATTTCTCTGTTTGTTTGATGATGAATTTCTCCGTTTTTGTGTGGATGAAAGAGCAAAACAGAAAAAATGTTTGCGTTTATCAAATATCCCCATATATACCCGGAGTTGTGGGACAGGACCTTATTTATTTTCTTGCCCTGTTCATGTGTGTGACCCATTGACTGTATATAGGAGCTGGACCCAGTCAGTGTGACGTCGCCGTGATCCATATTGAAAGTGCCTGCTGGCTGCAAGAAGAAAAAACCCTCCTGATTGGCAGAGTGAAATAAAAGGGCGACTGAAAAGGCTTCATTCGAGAAGTAAGTCATTTTCTATGGATGACGTCACACTCACTCACTCCAGTTCTTTTATACAGTCAATGGTGTGACCGACGGCTCATGGTTCAGATGACGCTGCTGCCTCACCTCCCCACAGCAGATTGCACTGTGGTCTGCTGTTTGCTGCAGGGGTCAAAACAGTACAAGCGTATCCCGTTAACAGCCGTGTAGTCTCCAGAGCCTTGTGGAGCCTCCACCTAAGACAGAGCCACAGGGAGAACCACAGGAAGTCCATCAGGTTGGTGTTCGTTAGACAGCACTTTCTCATACATCACAAACAGATCACAAAACATGGACGCATCATGCACTGAGCTTTGATGACACAGAGTGTGGACAAGTTAGCAGCGACAGCAACAGTTAAATCTGTTTCATAAAACCCTGAATCAGCAGAACCTGTTGAGATGGAAGATTTGTATCATGCTCAGAACTTCTCAAACCACAACTCTAGAGTCAAGTGAAATATCAAAGACCTTGTTACTAAGTCTTTTGTTCAGCTACCTGGATTTACGCAGTAGTTATTGGCAAGTTGAGCTGGCAGAGGGTGCTTGTCCAATAACTGCATGCACACTGTAGACAAGAGGCTGTGGCAGTTTAAGCTGATGACGTTTAGACTTTGTAACAATGGCTACCTTTGAGAGACTGATAGAGCAGGTCCTCAACAACTAAGGCTGTCACCTTTAACGCACTAAAGACAGTATCACAGACAGCTCTCACCCTGGCTTTAAGTTGTTTAAACTGCTGCCCTCTGATAGGTGCTATAGGTGTTTGAGAACAAAAACAAATAGACTTAAAAATAGCTTTTTTCCTAAAGCTATTGCCACCCTGAACTCCCACATGGAGTAAATTATTTATCCATTTACTTATTTATCCATTTTCTATTTTTTCTATTTTTATTCATCTATCTATTTTTCTAATTTATGTCATCTTTGCTAATTGTAAATTAAGTGTGTCTGTGTATGTATTTATATCACATAAATATATTTATCTACCATGTATTATACATATCCCCCCATGGACCCACCACCCGCAGGGGGGACCATAAGGAGCCGGTGCAATGTGGTTTGGGCAGTGGTCGAAGGCAGGAGCCCCAATGGCTCAAACCACGGCACAGAAACTGGCTTTTAGCGTCACTTCTTTGGGGGTGTGGTGGAGCCTGAGCTTGTGCAGGAGGCTGGAAGGTACCGGCTAGATATAGTCGGGCTTGCCACTCTGGAGTTGCCACGGTGAGAGGCACTTCGCCTTCTGGCGGGGGGACAGGTCTGCGACTGTTGTTTCAGCTTACGGGCTGAGCAGTAGTTCAGAGTACTTCTTGGAGTCTCTCGGAGGGGTGCTGGAAAGTACTCCTTCGGGGGACTCCATTGTCCTACTGGGAGACTTCAACACTCACTTGGGTAACGACAGTAACACCTGAAAGGGAGTAACTGGGAGGAAGAGATGTCCTCATGGAAACTTGTCAAGCTGGACTGCGACTGAACGACTGAACTCGGCCAGATCTAACCTATTGGCCTAATAATCCAATGAAAAAATTGGACACCTTTTCCACTCTACCACCGGATTTTAACAAATGCTTCCTCAAATCTCCCCACCATTCCTTTATTCCTCACTAAAACGGACTTCATTATTCACTCAATGAAAAATGTACTTGTTACTGTTAATTTCTCCTTTGTCTCTCGCCTCCTTATGTAAGCTAGCTTTTGTTGTTTCATCCACTATTGAACAAAACCAGTTCTGCAAACCTGATCATGGTAACAGTCCCTCCTCACTTGGTTCTCGGCCCTTTCAGTCAATGCAACCACAGACTGGGATGACTTACAAATTTTTTTTTTTAGGTTGGGTACTTTAGTTTGAAAGGAAGATTTTAAAACTTTTTTAAATGATATATTTAAAAAAATGCTGTGACATGGTTTAAGAATTTAATTATTTTAAATTGTATTATTATATCGTGGACATGTTAATGTTGATGTCTGTCCTGATTGTTTCAATTTTATTTACGTTTTACTTGTACTTAATTTTCTTTAGTTCGCTTTATCAGAAGAAGTTTATCTCAACATGCTATGAGATAAGAATTATCTCATAGGTGTTGTTATAGATAAACCATTACCAGACACATTAGAGCAGGAGTGAATCCTCTTCACCACTCACCTTGATGCTGAAGCCAACAGCGTAAGAGCCTACAGGACACATCTCCGTGACACCCCAGTCCCCCACTGTGTGCTGTATGGTACATAAAGCTGGTAGAGGGTAGTGGTATGTCCTGGCACCACGTGCACCCACGACAGCAGCAGCAGGTATGTGGTGCTCAGACTCAGACGCAGCATCTGTGCGGTTTATGGACAAGAGCAAAGCGGGAAGGATAACGAACAGAAAAATTATGTCTCTAACAGGTCTCTTGACTTGGACACATGAAGCAGAGCTCCCTAATATGTGGACATAAACACTTACGCAATATTTGTATATCTGTGTCATCAGTATTGCTAATCTGTAACTAAAGCTGCCCCACTCGAGGGGCACACATCAAGTCTCCTGTGAGTATTTTTTAACAGCATTTAGCTCACACATTTATCTGACGCTTTACTAACAGTCAGGTGTAAGATTTTAAAGGTTATTTGTAGCATTTTGGAGTTATCAAAGGGAAAAAGGGATGGCTGTAGAGAGACAAATGCTTATTAACCAGTTCTTCCCCTTTCTACTCTTACTTAGTAGATCTTTTTTTGTTTTCACTTTTTCTGTCCAGAGTTGGGAATTTTCATTTTGCAGAAATGCCAAGCAGGGTCTGCATTACCACTGTAGCTCTTTTGTAGTGCCATGTGGCAAGAGCCCTGAACCATTTGACTTCAGCTGTTTGGTGGCCAGAGCCACATTTTGTGATGACACTCAGCAGCTCCCAGCGATGGATGTGCAACTGTATGCATGTGAACTGGAGGTTTCTGCAAATATGTTTTGTGGAGCAGGGAAATTATTTTACTGCTATTGTTAAATAATTGTCATCATTACCATTGCATTAATAATATAATCTGGAGTTTATATTGCATTCAGGGGTTAAACAGTGTCTCTTTCAGAAAGACTGAGTTGCAGGCTGACAGGAAGTTGTATGCAGAAGTGAAAGCAGGAAGTTATTTTGAGCAGCAGGCTAAGACGAGGAAGTGGAGAATTGTGCAGGAGTCTGACACACTGCAAAAGCAACATATGCAAATTCACATACACAAGCAGAAAATGCATTAAACTTATAAAGACAAGACAAGCTCATGGAGTTTAATGCACAGACACTGATTAAACCTGGCTAAGAACACAAACATAGGCAATGAAGAACAGCTTGCTATTTTGTATGAATGATACAATGGTGTGAATGTTTAATAAAATATATTTGAGTTTGTAATTGAGGAATAGAAGAAGCCATATGACTGAGGGAGTGACTTTCAGGAGAGGAAGCACGGCAGACAAGAGGAGTGCAGATTTGGGTAGGAAATTTATAGTTTAGTGATATGTTGTTGTAAGGGGGTTTTATGCTGAATTGAAGTATGTTATAGAGCATAAGGGGGTGATTTTTGTTTGCAAATTGTGTGGTTTTAATGAGACTTTCGGTGTATTGAGGAGGTGAAATTATGTGGTGGCAAAACTTTTGTGTGTTTAAGGTTGTTGAGGTTGTTGTGGTGATGGGTTGATTTTGTCAGTTAGGTTTGGGTTGTTGTTTTTGTTTTTAATAGAGGGAGTTTTAGGAAACATGGACATGTCTGGGAGGGGCCCATTATTTTGTAACAGTGCACTTAAAGAAAACCTGTCAGGTGATTTTGTTTTGTTTTATGAGCTAACAATCAGCTCTATTTTTCATTTCTGTTTTAAGCAGGCCTGCAACAGTGAATAACGGCGCTGAAAATTATCGGGAAGAGCAAATATAAGGGGGCTTTCCAGATTTCAATTGGCTGAGGAGAAAGCTACCTGGGGACAATTCAGGTCGTAAGTCCCTGTAAAAGGATTTTATGCGAGTTAATCCAGTCCAAAAGCATAAAGAAATATTTTCCTATGGAAAATAAAAATGACTGAGCTCATTTTGCTGAGGGTGGAGTATCTGATCGTGCGGGAAGCTCCACTATCAGCAAATACATGGTGTGACTGCATGTGAGTGAATGTGTGACTGCATGTGAGTGAATGTGTGACTGCATGTGAGTGAATGTGTGATGAGTGAATGTGTGACTGAATGTAGAGAGATGAATTAATGTGGACAAACAATTGTTTTTACCAGAGAAAATTTGTTGACTGGGGTTAGATTATGGGATTATAGTATATTGTTGGGAGAATGCCAAATGCTAAAGGGGAAATATTTTTTGATGTAACTCAGTTATCATTAATTGAAGAAACACATGACTGATAACTGTTCTGTTTTAAGTTTATTTTTATGACATAGATTGGATCATGAGTGGGGAAACTGGGCATTTTTAAGTTTTGTATAGTATCTTGACACATGAATGTATCAAGATAAAGGGGGTTTAGGGTTTAATAATTTAATTGTTTAATAATTTAGGATCATTTCAGGACCTTTTGGGTTTTGATCATTTGGATATGGTAAAACTGAAACTGAAAAAAAATAAGAAACCGGAAACCTAAATTGGGTAAGCTAATAACACAAACCAGAAATGAGGATGCAGGGAGGTCCGGGGAAATACACACAGAGAACACAGCTTTAGAAGGCTTTAAGGTTTTTATGCATACAGGTATTAAATTACTTTGTATTCCAGGTGCAGTTATAACTATTTTATACATATTGCATATCTGTGCTTATTTGAGTTGATGTTCAGGTTCTTTAAAGGTCTTAAGCTTCAACTAGTGAGAGTGTCTAGATGATCCATGCTGAGGGAAAACTAGAACATAGAAGGAATTGCAATACATGCTTACAAAACACTTATATATCAGATCATTTTATATTAAGGTTTTAGTAGAGGTTCTTGGTTAAAACATTTATTTAGTAGAAGACATACACATAGTCTCAGTGAGCTTCTGGTCTGGTAAAAGGTCAGAAGTGCAACAGGTGAATTGAGAAAGAGCATTTGAGGACGAGACACAGATAGTAGGTGAAGAGGTGACACAAAGAGCATGTGAGGTCGTGACACACACACATGAGTTAGATTTATTTAGAGGAGAGATTACTCATGTCTGGTTGTAACTGCAAAAGTGTCTCGGTAAAAGAGGAACCGTTCCTTGTTGTCTCGGCAAGAAAGAGGAACAAGACAAGAACTGAAAGGTAGACAGGAAGGGCTAGCCATGAAATAGAAGATGATCTTCTGGGTTAAAAGTCTGATCTATGTATAAAATGTATCTGTGACGCATGAAGGGGCGTCAGTAAATCAAACCCTGATGCTATAAAATATCTGTTCATGCTTTGATTAAGTCGAGGACTACTGGCTGTCTGCGTACAGAGTGTCTTCCCACACGTGTGTTCATTAAAATCATTGTTGGACCAAGATCCTCTGGACAAGAGTAGTTTGTACTCTCCTTCCTCAATTTTGAACCTTAACAGTTTGCTCCTATAGGACTTACCTAAACTAAAATGAAAGGGTGCAGAAAAGAAATCAGTCCCAACATTACTATGCTATTACTGTCATCAGTTAGTCAGTGTAATAGACATGAGAACCTTTGGTTCACAAGCTTAAGTTGCTTAAGTAACTCTCTTTCTGCAAAATAAAGTATATAAAGACCAATGTTGGGCAATTAATTATATAGTACTTCTTCAAAAAAGTTACAGAGTTATGCAAACAACAAAGTTTTTTGCAGCTGTTTACCTAAAATGCAGCCAAGGGATTTTTCTAAACAAACATTTCAAAATATTTACAGAACAATCAGCTGTTCTGCATCAAATCTGATGCCACACAAATTATTTGTTCCACTCCAAAAAATAATTTCTGTCCATTATGAGATGAAGGAGAACAACAGCCTGATACCTGCAGGCCTGACAACAGGAGATGTATCACTGCTGTAACACCTGTAACATTCAGCAGTCGTCTCATTGTTCTGACACACACAACAAACGTATTGACTACACTACACACTAACTACACAAGATTTGTGCTAAACGTGGCAAATCTCTCACATCTCAAAGCACCGCAGTCACTCCTAACCCCTCACTCCTCCCCCCAGGCTTTCGAGCGTTTTCCTTATAAAACGCCGTTTTTTACTGTTCTTACCGCATTAAATATAACAATGATAGTATTCAGGAAAACCAAACATTGCATATTTTTTTATCACAACTCTGGTTTTACGTGGCCTATCAACACAATTTGAAAACTGGTATAAAGTCCACACTTTTTCCGTCAATTGTTCCGTCTGTTCTGCATCTCCAATGTTTGTACACGTTGTCATTGACGTGGCTTCACTCCACATCAGCCACGCCGCTTTGCCAGCTAAAACACCGGTGTCGGCACATAAGGACGCTGTCATAGCCTGTCAACGACGTTGATTAGCTGCGTATATACGAATATGAATCACATTATTGGCTAAGCTATCGTTCTAATCCCATACGGGAGCAGCCAGTCACTTACTGACTAACACTGCAAAACAGAATTGTTAAAGTTTTAATTTTAATTTCAGTTCAGGTTAGTTTTTTTTTTTTTTTTTGCGCAACACAGATTTCTGTGCGCAGAGACGTGCCAGCAGTGTGCCATTGCGCACGTGCGCAGCTTAGAGGAACATTGGTCAAGAGTTGCTCAAAGTGACCTTGTACTGGAAACCACTAACTCTCGAAATAAGAACAAATCAGTCTGTATCTGGGTTAAAACCTTGAAGCCGTTCCAATTGTGTTTTACAGGAAGACAGCTGACAAACTCCAAATACAAAGGGCAATTCTGCTACACTGACAGCAGATATTAACTTTTAATTGCTCAAGTTATTACAATATCAACACCTATTGCATAGTTAAATGTGGCAATCATTTGGTAAGCAGTCTTATTCAGTTTAGCATCAGAAAGTTCCTTGGCATTCAGATGTAGTCAATGATAGTTTTGGTTTTAGACCAGCCGCAGGGTCACCAGTTTTCCAGTCCGTGTTTTCAGATTCAAAATGACGGGAATTGGTTCAAAATGATAGACTGATCCAGATAAAATCTGTGAGCAAATATCCTGACAGAGCAGAGCAGTAATTGTTTTTCCAGTCAGTCCCATGCTTGCAGTATTAAGTTGGGCAAACAGAAAAAAATCATTAAAACTTATCAGTACAAATAAACGCCTGCCAAGATTCAATAAAAAAATATATAACCCAAAGGCCTGGCACACAAAAACCTTTGTGTTCGACTTTTTCATGTTTAAGGATTTGAAATGATTACATACATGCAGCTTCAGCTAAAGATATGTTTTGACTTGGGCACATAAAGCAGAGCTCCCTGATGTGTGGACATAAACACTTACGCAATATTTGTATA